CGTATTCCTTTTCATTTAGAATCGGAATCAATCTGGCTGGATAAAAGATCCCAAGATCATCAAATCCAATTGTAAAACCAGCAATGCCTAATTCCACCACTAAACCCTCTCCCCAAGTGCACATGTACACGCAGAGACTCAACCACTTCCTTGGGCAGCCTGTTCCAATGCTTGACAACACTTTTGGTAGCAACCTTTCCCATTCTTACAGGAAAGTGTGGAAAATGCTCACCATGCAGCAGTGACATGTTAATAACTTAATACTATAGCAGTGATGTTGTGGGAATTTCAGATTGAGGAAACAGTCAAATGCAGATCTGGCAGCTGTCACACATTGAAAAATACATGCACTGCATGGCTCAAACACAGGTGATTTTCATGGACGTTCACAGAGATGAGGAGGACTGAAAAACCTGGTCCAGTCCATTTCTGTCATGTTTTGCTAAATACATCTGGACTTTCTAATCACTGGCTGACTTATAATGTGAAAACTAATGAATATATAAATAATAGTGAATAGAAAAGCATAGAATATCTTTGTGACAACTTTATTGACTTTATAAATGGCATCCCATCTATACAAGCATGAAGTGAGACCAACAAATGTGTTCCATGTGATTCCTGCAAGACCCAAATATCACTTGGAGTGAGGCTGGAGCCATGCAATTCTTCTGCTAGTATGCAGAGGCCTTGTCCTAGCAAGAAGAAATACCTCCAGAAAGAGAGGTATCAGATCAGAGAGTCAGCAAGAGTTTTTTGCTTAGGGAATGATCAGATATGTTGCTTTTGTAAGTGTTCATTTTTTTTAGCTTTATGCTTGTGTCCCAAAATACTTTTTGAAAGGCAGCCAGTTACATAGGGCCCAAGTCATTATTCCTACAGGACAGCGGGACTGCAAATGATAATCCAAGCTTAGGTTGCTTTTCACAGGCCAGGTGAAGAGCACAGACATGCAATTTGGTTTGGAGGAAACATGATTATCATGTTCAGGAAGACAGAAGCTGAAGCAGTATGGTGGGTTGTTGCCTTGGGAGGCAGGAATGCAGCAGAGGAACAGGTAAACTCGGAAATCTGGAACTCTGTTTTCATAGGGATTATAAAGCAACAATTTGTAGGCAACCTAAGGTGCCAATGACTTTCAAGATGATCTGAAGACAAAGGTCTCTATGGCCATAGGATGGAAGGCAATGGACACAAACTGAAGCAAAGGAGAGTCAACCATCTGAACTTCAAGAAAGGCTCCTTGACTGTGTGGATTGTCCAGAGAAGCTGTACATTCTCCATCCTTGGAGATACTCAAAACCCAGCTGGACATGGTCCTGGGTAGCTGGCTGGAGGGGGCCTTGCTTAAAGTGGGGGAGGTGGAGTAGATAATCTTGAGAGGTCCCTTCTGACCTCAGCCCTTCTGGGATTCAGTGGAGGTTGAATTAGCTGGGTGGATGATATCAGCTATCAAACTGCAGGATCTCTCTCTGCACCTCTGAGAGCTCATGTACAAAATCCAGTTAAGAGACTTTCTTTTTAAGGCACTTAGACTTCAGAATTCTTAAATGTTCTCAGACAAGTAACTGTAATTCTAATTTTAATTCTGATTCTTCCTATTTTTACTATTGCTGCTGTTGTTATGTAAAAGTGAAGGAAACTTACCCTTCTGTAACTTTGTCAGATCCTCCTTTTTTTCCAGGTAAGATTCTTCAAACTGCAGGAAGGAGAAAAGAAAAGTTCTATTGTTAGTCCATGATTTAGCATTTCCTCCTTTAGGTAAAAAAGGCCTAAAGCGATGTGTTTTGGGCAATTTTATATTTTTAAACATAAATAATATTTGAAAGCTGTCAGGCACTTTGGCCATAACTGTGACAGAAGCCCCTGGATCTTGAAACACGCAGATTCTCATACACCATCTCGGGTTGAGTATCAGAATCTGTCAGAGGTAAAAAATTTACTTTATGATTTACAATATCCAGTACGTTCAATGGCAAACTACATCCAGGCAGCAATAATAATCTCTTGCTGTTTTGGACATTGGAATTTAACTGAAGGTACTCAGAATTGCAGGTGCTTGACCTCTGTAATCAGAAGATTAGGAAGCCAGGTTCTGCTGCTGGGGTTCTAAATTTCTTCTCTCTCTAGCTACAGGGGAGGAGCATTTCTGGTGCTACCTGCAGGCTTTGCACACGATGCATGCAAGTGAGACAGGAACTTGCCCCCTGCTTAGGGCAAGCTCGTAGTCCCTGTTGGCCTGCTGAGCAATGCACTGAAGGCACAGCTTGAAACTGCTGCTCAGTCACACTT